CCCCTCCCCCATGGGTTTCTGTTAAGTTTCTCAGGATCCACATAAGAGTGAAACCATATGGTATCTGTCTTTCTCTGTATGGCTCATTTCACTTAGCATCACACTCTCCAGTTCCATCCATGTTGCTACAAAAGCAGCAGATTTTGTACAGCTACAAAACAGATGTCATTCTTTCTCATTGCCACATAGTACTCCATCGTGTATATAAACCATGACCTCATCTAAATCTAACTACTCACATCTGTAATGGCCATATTTCCAAATAAGGTCACATCCTGAGATCCTGAGGGGTTAGGACATCAACACGTGAATTTTGGGGGGGGGGCAATTCAACCCATCTTAATCCCTGTGGTTTTATTGCCTGACTATTACAATCTCTCCAGAGTGGGAGCTTCCTGAGAGCAAGGGTTCTGTCTTACTTACCTTGTATCCCCTACGCTGCCCAGTTCCAGGAAGAAAATAGACACTCAAGAAAATGGGTTGACAGAAGAATGAATGAGCAAATGGAAACTAGTAACATTAGCTGAACATTAGTTCCCACCTCCATGGCAATTATTTTATCCACTTTAGCTCATTCAACAAGGTTGTCTATGTTTCCAGATTTTAGGGGATGATTTTACATGGAGGCATACAAGGGCAAGAATATCTAAACTATTTCTGAAACAGGCGCCTGGGTGGCTCGGTTGAGCATCCAGCTTCGGGCAGGTCATGATCTCATGGCTCGTGGGTTCGAGCCCCACATCAGGCTCTGTGCTGACGGCTCAGAACCTGCAGCCTGCTTCAGGTTCTGTGTCTCCCTCTCTATGCCCCTCCCCTGCTCACATGCGCGCGCTCTCTCTCTCTCTCTCAAAAATAAATAACATTAAAAAAATTTTTAATATTTCTGAATAAGAAGAATGGTCCAAGATGTATGACTACAAAGCAGTAGTTACTGACACAATGTGGTCAAACTACAGGAACATACAAATTGACTAAAGGAAGAGAAAAGAGACCCCATTGGGGCACTTGGGTGGTTCAGTTGGTTGAGTGTCCAACTCTTGATTTGGGCTCAGGTCATGATCTCATTGTTCGTGGGATCAAGCCCTGAGTCAGCACAGAACCTGCTTGAGATTCTCTCTCTCTTCTCTCTCTGTCTGTCTCTCTCCCTCCCTCCCTCCCTCCACACATTCTCAAAGAAAGAAAGAAAGAAAGAGAAAACAAGGAAAAGAAAGAAAGAAAAGGAAAAGGAAGGAAGAAAGAAAAAGAAAGAAAGAAAACAAGGAAAAGAAAGAAAGGGAGAAAGAAGGAAAGAAAGAAAGAAAAGAAGGGAAAGAAAGGAAGAAGGAAGAAAGAGAAAGAAAGAAAACAAGGAAAAGGAAGGAAGGAAGGAAGGAAGGAAGGAAGAAAGAAAGAGAAAGAAAGAAAGAAAGAAAAGAAGGAAAAGGAAGAAAGAAAAGAAGGGAAAGACAGGAAAGAAGAAAGAGAGAGAGAGAAAGAAAGAAAAGAAGGAAAAGGAAGGAAGAGAGAAAGAAAGAAGACAAGGAAAAGGAAGAAAAGAAAGAAAGAAAGAAAGAAAGAAAGAAAGAAAGAAAGAAAGGGGAGGTCCCATCAATAGACTCCATACACACATGCCAATCAAATATGTGACAAGGTAGTATTTGCTCCACTGTGGGGGAAATGGACTTCTTAACAAAAATGATTCCAGGACAAAAGGGAGATCCAGAAAGAAATGAGATCCCTACCACACGCCATACACAAAAATCGTCTCCAGAAGGATCGAGAACTTCCATGTGAAAAGCACAACTTGAACACTTTTAGGAAAAAAAAAATATCTTGGGAAATATATTTGTGACCTGGGGTAAGAAAGAATTTCTTAAAGAAAACGTAGAATGTACAAACCGTAAAGGAACAGATGGATGTTGTGCTACATCAAAATTTAAAACCACTTACGTCGAAAGAGACCAAATAGGGGCGCCTGGGGCTCAGTCGGTTAAGTTTCCAACTTTGGCTCAGGTCATGATCTCGCGGTCTGTGAGTTCGAGCCCCGTGTCGGGTTCTGTGCTCACAGTCAGAGCCTGGAGCCTGTTTCAGATTCTGTGTCTCCCTCTCTCTGCCCCTCCCCTGCTCGTGCTCTGTCTCTCTCTCTCTCTCAAAAATATAAACACTAAAACAAAGGAGACCAAATACAAAGTGAAGAGAATCTGTGCCCTGGGAACAGACATTTGCACTGCAGGCAGCCAGCAAATGATCCCCGTTTATACAGAGAGGGCCTGGGTTAGCTCATTTCATCCTCACTGAACCCAGTGAGGGAGGCACTGTTTCTTCCCCCATTCTTTGCAGGTAGACCCACGGAGGGGCTGAGAGGTAGAGTGACGTGTCTGAGCCCCCGTCACTGGCCGGGGCTCCAGAACAGCCGTTAGAATCCAGACCGAACCATCCAAATAGCGAACAGAGGGACAAATGAGCACACATAGGCACAAACAGGTAATTACGACCTCTCTCCGGGACCGGGAGGGATTGCTGGGTTGTGGGTCCCTCTGGCGGATGGAAGAAAAGGGCCAGGCTCAAGGGGGATAACACGCTAATGGGGGGATGGCCGGCATTGGATGCACCTTTAAGGCCTGGAGCCTCCTTCACCTGCACCTCGACCTTGAGGGAACTCAGCAGCCACGTGGGAGGGAGCCAGGAGGTCAGCCGAGCCAGCCGCTCACGCGGCAAAGGTGGTGGCGAACCAGGCGAAGAAGCAGAGGTTCAGAGGGTTTGGACAACACGCCCAAGACCACACAGCGAAGTAGCTGCAGAGTTGTGAGTCTCGGCGAAGGCTCTGCTGTCGTGCCCCAGCCCAGACATTTTCTGGTTCTCTCGGTCTCGGGGTCTCTCGCTCTCTCTCTCTCTCTCTCTCACGCACACAGGCGCGCCCGCCCGCCCGCAGCACCCAGCTCCCGCTGGAGACGAAAGGCAATGCAATGCACAAATTGCAAGTCACACTTTATTCACTCGCCAGGGGGTGCGGGGGGATTCTGGGCAGCAGACCTAGCCCCTGGGAAGGAGGAACAGGGGGGCACTAGTTGGAGGGGTGGAAGGCGCCCCGTTGGTGCCACTGCATGTCGCGGATGCGGCGCACGGACTGCACCTGGGGGTGGGGAGCCCCAAAGTCACCGCTGTCCTTGTAGTCTCCCTTCTCCAGCAGGTACTGCAGCCCGCGGTAGCCGGGGTACTGGTAGCCGACCCACCTGCGGGGCGGAGGGGAAGCAGACGAAGAGAGAGAGAAGGAGAGCAGCCTTAGGCCGTGAGGAAGGGTGGGTTTCCCGTTCATTTCACACTTCCTGATTGTCGAGCAGGAACGCCACCCTTCCGGCCTCCGGCCTCCAGCCTCTGCTTGCTTCCTTCTCTTGGTGGGGAGATCACTATCTCCTAAAGCAACTTTTGGCTGAAGGCCTGCTACTAGGGAAAGGTGACCTCAAGCCCACTTCAGCCTACAAGAACACAGGTCTCTTAACTGTCTCTGTCCACCCTCATCCCAACCCCATGCCTGGCTGCAAGGCCAAATGAGAGAGGAGGCTAGGTCCCAGGGCCCCTCCATTATCCCTTCATCATTTGAAGTCAGCACCGTTTAGGGGGGATCCTCCACTCTTTTGAGCACCTAATGAAAGTTACAGTTTGTCCCCCCCCCCCCC